AGTCAGGTTTAACTCTACTATCCACTATGAAAATTAGTGTGGAGTTTCCTCAAAAAACTGAAAAAGAATTGCCATGTAATCCAGTTATGCTACTCCTGGGTATATATCAGTGTCTATCAATAGATGAATGGTTTTTAAAATATAGAGAATTCAGCATGAATAAGAATGAAATTCTGTCATTTGCAACAACAGGGTGAAGGTCATTATGTTAAGGGAAGTAAACCTGGCACAGAAAGACAGGACTGCATGACCTCAGCCACACTGGAAACTGAAAAGGTTGATCTCATAGAAATTAAAAATAGAATGGTGTTTAGCTGTGGCTGGGGAGAGCAGGAGGTAGATGATGGGGAAATACTGATCTTTCGGTAGTGAGCTGCAGTTATGAATAAGAAGCTCAGGGTGCTGTAGCACTCGGGGATGACCATAATACGATGTACATTTCTAAAGAAATGATAAATGTTTGAGGAGATAAATATGATTAACATAATTTAAACATTATACAATGTGTACATGTATAAAGTGGCACCTCATTAATATGGATAGCTTTTTATATTTTTAAACCTTAGTTTAAAAGAATTAATCTTCATCCTAAAACAAGAATGAAATTATGGCATTTACAAGTAAATAGATGGTGCAGAGAATATCATGCTAAAAGAAAATAAGCCAATCCCAAAGAACCAAAGGCAGAATGTTTTCTCTGCTATGCAGATGCTAATTCACAATGGGGGAGGGGTCTAGGGAAGAATACAATTACTTTAGATTACCAAAGAGAAGTGAAGGAAGGGAAGGAGGTACAGGGGTATAAAGGATTGTGGAATGAAACAGACATTATTACCTTATATACATATACGACTGAATGACCAGTGTGATTCTACCATGTACAATCAGAAAAAAAGATAAATTATACTCCACTTATGTATGATATATCGAAGTGCATTAATGTATTCTACTGTCATTTGTAACTAATTAGGACAAATAAAAAGATTTTTAAAAATAATAATTAATACCAGTAAAATGTGCTGTAACTTGAATAGACATTTCTAGGAAGAAGACATAGCAGTGGACAGCAGATAAACTAAAAGGTGCTTGATGTCAATATAAACATCAAGAAAAATGCAAATCAAATCACAACAAGATATCAACTTAATTTGATAGGATTGGAATTATAAAAATCAAACACAACATGACATCACTTACAGGATAAATCTAAAATAGTCTAACTCAGAGTTATAGAATGGGACTGTGGTTGTCATGAGCTGAGGAATGAAGAGGAAGAAAATGTCAATCAAACGGTATGATGTTTTGGTTTCACAATATTAATAAGTTCTGGAGATTTATATACCATTGAACTTATATTGATCAATATTGTCCAGGATGCTTAAAATACTACTCAAAGGGCAGATTATGTGCTGCATGTCATCATCATCATCATCATCATCATCATCATCATCATCATATTCTTCTTCTTCATCATTATATTAATAATAAACAAGTAGTTGGATATACACATTTGAAGATGGTCAGATAGGTGACCAAATAATTTCATGTCATAGATTATATGTTATATATGTACTGTATTTTTATGTGAATTACTTCAAATAAATGTTTGTTTGTTTTAAAAAAATCATGTATACACTTCCTAAAATGACTAAGTGGCAAATAAGTAACAATGAAGTTTTGTCCAATTGACAAAATGTGGAATGACTTGAACTCTCTCACTGTGTTTTAAATATCTCTCCAAATCTGTAATGCTGCCAATCATTCCATGCTGTGTCCCAGAGAACACTGTTATATAGCCCTTTCTTTGGTTTTTGGCTACTTCCAAACACTGGAAATCAGGAAAAGCACCATGTGCAGTTAAAAATAGCTGTCATTAATAAGCAATTCACGGTGGATTTTCAGAAAGGATTTAATACTGATAAGAAAGATGCCCCCTCTGGAAAACATTTTCAGGGAAACTACATCACTGGTACTCACACTGGATTAATACTGCAATCCTATTTACATGGCATTCATCTTTCCTAACAACCCAAATTTATATAAAAATAAATAAATAAATAAAAAAGAAATTACGTTCAAACTTCAGGGAATACAAGTCTCCATTCAGAGGCTGGTAATTTTCAAATATATCTTTCCAGTATACCTGCTTCCAAGGTAATATATTTCCATCAAAAGATATAATTAATTCCTGGGAGAGAAAGCTCAGCTATAAGCTAGGTCCCTAAATTCTTCTGAAAACCTCTTAAAATTTCCTGGTCTTGTAAGATGGCAATATTTTTTGTTGTAGTTGATTCATCCAGAGCAAGATTCATCAGGAGTGACCCATTTGAATCCTTTTTCTCCCAGCCTCTTGCCTTCTGTCCTACTGAACCAGAGCAGCAGAATGATTTCATTTCTCTGAAACATACCAAGTGAATCCATTCTAAATCCAAATCACAGATTTTCTATTAAAATATTTTAGGCTTTAAGTCAAAAATAATGATTTAGACTTTAAAGGAAACATCCTTAATGACATTCGATTTGATGTAGGGTTATCTGAATATTCTCTTTGGAAGTTTGTTGTCACTTCATATTAAAATTCGTATTTCAACAAGAGGTCTTTTTGAAGATGAAAATGATTCTGAACACTCAAAGCATAATTAAAATCATCTAAAAGTACTAAGGTAAGATTTTTCAATAGTGTGGATGTTTATTAATTTTGTAATTTTTCATATGCAGAGATCATTACTTTTCAACATTTATCAAATGCAGTCATAGAGTGTCATTTGTTGAGTGTCATTTGTTATAGGATAATTCATCCTCATTCCCCTTTTTCGAAAGATGGTTGGCAAATATCATTGAGCAAATTTAACATTAGACAATTTGAGACACATAGTGATGAAGCTTTATATAAAACCCAGCCCTCTAACAACAAGAAAATTTAGTTTGCCATGAGACACCTCATTTAATAACCAAGACTCTGAAGATAAAAACAAAATTTAAGTACAACTTTCACACACTTAAGACTTGGATATAAATATTAAATGACACAAATCATCAGCTATAGAGCCCTAGTACAAACAAGAAGTCTTTCTGGGGTCAACTGCTGTGGGTAAAACACATGTCTTCTTTAAAAGCAGTAATCCAGAAGATTCTTCTTTAGCTGACAGGAGATTTGAAAATGTCTCGATATTTTTACTCAAACTGTCAATTTAGCTTTGCTGAGTGCATACACAGTTATAAAAATAAATGAAAGCCCTATATGTGTCTCTAGATATGTGATGAATGTGCTCATGTAACAATCAATTCTCATAAAACCTATGAGGTGACATTCTCACTCTCACTTTGTAGATGATAATGCAGATGGGTGCAGGGCCAGGAAATATATCCAGGTAAAAGAAGTTGCAAGCAGAAAAAAAAAAAAAAAACAAGATTCAAATCTGGTCTTACTGACACTCAAATCAGTACACTTAACTTCATGAGGGTTGTGTACAACATTTTCCAGCTGACTGTGGGGTCCATATTTTATAGTGGTATTAGAGAAGGCAGAACTGGGTGTGAGGGACAGGCCAAGTGAAAGGAGCCCTTCTGAGAATGAAGAAACACTCATTTTCTTAATATTTGGGAGTTCAAATGAATTATTATGTATCTTTGTGTCTGCTGATGAAATTGCTTTGTATAAACTCTCTCTGAAGTAGTTCATCATAATTTATATAACATAGTATGGAATTTATAGTTAAGAGGAAGAGGAGAACAATATATGTTAAAGAACTGAAGGACAAAAAAATGAATAAAAATTGGACTAACCTGAAGACAGACAAAGAGGTACATTCCCATAATTCCACCTACTAGGAAGCTGATGCAGGAGAATCACAATTTTAATGTCAGCCTGAGCAATATCATAAAACTCCATCTTTAAAAAGTATTTAATGATCTATTTATTATCTTCTTGACTCTGCTACTTATTAGTTAATTTTTCTGAAAGAAGATTCTAAACTCCTCTGTGCAATATAAATAAGAGTAAAGATGGATAAAAAGATAACAACATTAGCCATTCACTTTGTTGTGAGAACTATATCAGTACATGTCTGAAAAACACTTAGAACACATGTAGAGTTCAGTTACTGTCAGTAAACATGATCAAGATTATTGCGAGCCATCTGCAAGCCCTTGCACTTTAGTTTCTGAGATGATTTCTTTACCAGTAAGAAGGATGCAACAACACCCGTCATACAGATTACCTCAAGTATGAAAAAGAATTGTGCAGGCAAAGCATTGGTACTATGCCATGCATGGAATAAATATCAGTTGTTTCATAATTAGGGATTGCAAAGTTATTAGATTTATTCAACAAGTTTTATGAATTATTTTATAGCTGCTCTTTTGTACACTGGTTACATTTCTGTAAGTGTTGCCCTCATCTCTTTATATGAATTGTTACCATTATTCTGCTACATGGGGTTCTGATCTCTGGCTTCCAGCCCTTATTTAACCCACTATGCTTCATCCAGGACACAAAAGGATGGTTATAAGAGTAACATCTAATATTCCCTTCCTTAAGTTTCTCACCATCCTTGATTCCTATTCTCAATTAGCTCTCAAGTTTCTCCATTTCATAAGGAAAAAAGGGCAACATTATTTAGTTATACCTTGATGGCAGTCACATTCTGTTCCTACCTTGCTTTGGGGGTTTAAATGACACTATGAGTGAAAACTATTAATTCAATTTAAGCTCTGAGTCATTTCAGAAAATTAGAGATACTCAGCCTCTTGCCTTGTGTGTTCACAAAATTTTCTCACATATATAGTCTTTGCAGAATCTTTACTAGAAGGGAAATTAATCATCATTACTCAGAACACTTTTTTTTTCCACATCACTCAACAATATAAATGCAAAAATCTCCACATCAATTCTCTCTACTCAATAGAATCCACACATTATTTATTTATGAGAAGGGAGAAGTTTAATTCAAGTTTGTATTTTTTTTTCAGGCAGTGCAATTCACTTTCACTTGAAATACATGGAGAATAGGAATAATGTGACAGAGTTTGTTCTTCTGGGGCTTACTGAGAATCCAAAGTTGCAGAAAATTGTATTTGTTATGTTCTTGCTCATATACATCATCTGTATGGTAGGAAATATGCTCATTGTAATCACCATCACCACCAGTTCATTGTTGGGGTCCCCCATGTACTTTTTTCTGGCCTAACTCTCCTTTATTGATGCCTGCTATGCCTCTGTCAATACCCTTAAGCCAATGGTAGATTCACTCCAAAAAAAGAAAACCATCTTGTTCTATGCGTGCATAATGCAAATCTTTGGGGAACATTTCTTTGGAGGTGCAGAGGTCATTCTGCTTACAGTGATGGCCTATGACCATTATGTAGCCATCTGCAAGCCCTTGCACTATACAACCATCATGAACCGGAAAGTATGTCGCCTATTAGTGGGAGTGTCATGGGTGGGAGGTTTTCTCCATGCAATCATCCAGATCCTCTTCATCTTACCACTACCCTTCTGTGGCCCTAATGTCATTGATCACTTTACGTGTGACCTGAACCCTTTGCTCAAACTGGCCTGCACTGATACCCACACTCTGGGGCTCTTCGTTGCTGCTAACAGTGGGTTCATCTGCCTGTTAAACTTCCTCCTGCTGCTCATCTCCTATGTGGTCATCCTGCGCTCCCTGAGGACCCACAGCCTGGAGGGTAGGCGCAAAGCCCTGTCCACCTGCGTCTCGCATATCACAGTGGTCATCCTGTTCTTTGTTCCCTGCATATTTGTGTACATGAGACCTGCAGCTACTTTATCCATTGATAAAGCAGTTGCTGTATTCTACACTATGATTACTCCTATGTTAAATCCCTTAATCTATACCTTGAGAAATGCTCAGATAAAAAATACCATTAGGAAATTGTTTAGCAGCAAAGCCATTTCAAGTGACAAATGAATGTGCCTAAGGTCCAATATTAATTTAACTGAAGAAAGGATCAAAATACATATTGAATAATCTCAGCAAGAATACATAAATGATACAAAAAACACATACTGTCATTTATAAATTCTTCATTGAGGCAGCCATACATGGGTGCAAAATAGTGGAGAAAACCAAAGCCAGGACAACTCTCTCATATTTGTAAAATTCTTCTTACTCAGGGCTTTGTATTTCTAGCTGTATGCATGTATATGCATTCATAGGCTATACTTCTAATGAAAATAAAAAAATAAATAATTACAAATATTGGTATTGGGCAATAATACTATAATACTTGTAAGATATATACACTGCTGCTATGGTTTGGATTCAAGGTCCACCCCCAAAGTGCCTGTTAATATAGAAATAATAGAGGTAAATGATTAGACCATGAAAGCTGTGAACTGATCAGTGTATCCTAGTTTGAATGGACTGACTGGGTGGAAATTGGATGCAGGAGGAGCATGGTTGGAGGTCACTGATATTGTGCCCTGGAAGGGTGCATCTTCCCTGCAGCTCACCTTCTCCCCATGTCCCTCCCACCCTGCCGTTAGCTGAGCTTTCCTCCCATGAGCTGTTCCTACCCGATGTGCTGCCTTGGGCACAGAACAATAAAGTCAGGTATCTATGGACTGAGACCTCTGAAACCATGAGTACTCAGTATAAACTTTTCTCCCTCTCAGTTGTTATTGTCATGTATTCTGCTCATAGCAATGTTAAAGCTGACTAAGACAACTGCTATTATCTCCATTTACCTATGATGATACTGGCAAAATGATGAAGCTATCAATGTAGATATATTGATGCTCCAATAACCAGAATGTTTCTGATTTTCCAGACCATACTCTTAACTCCTATGATATACTTCCAGATTATGATGAGAAAAAGGTCACTCTAGTTGCTATGTCTCAGACAAAACTGTGCTAGGTGCATTGCATATATTAAGTGATTACGACTAATAATCTAACAGCTTTCTTTAATATGTATTATTAATTTACACAGCATAACTGATGTTCATATGTTTCCAGTAGACTGTGGTTTGTAGGATTTTAGAGCTTGAATACACATAGAACATTTAATATTTGTATGGTCAGTAACATAAATTCAACAGTGTTTTTAAATTTCCTTGTGATCTTCAGAAGGATTCTGTAGAATTATTAATCAAATAAAATACTTGAATATCAGACATGAAATCTATTTACTAAATATGTAGCTATGATCCATAAAGTTCTTGCTTGCTAGCTAACAATAGTCTCTTGGACATACCAAACAAATTCTCACACCCAATAAATATAGAAAGAAAAAATAAATGTATAAAATAACATAAATAAATTAAATACATAGTAGGAAAAGAGTAACAGAGACAAGGGAAATTTTTTCTACCTTCATCTCATTTAGACTCTGAGGAGAATCCCAGAGAGAACTCTTAGAGGAGGCACATGGTATATTTACTTTAATTTAAAATGAGGAATGAGAAAGAATTTGAAAATGTGTTTCTCAGAAAATGAAAACATATTTCATTTTAATATGCCTCAACAAGATTTCATTCTCCTATGTGTAGGGGATATTTATGATTTTCTCTTACATTGTAGTCACATTTTGTAAATAAATGCTATTTATAAACTTAAGTAGCTCTGCTTACACAAAAAAAAAGCAGTGTTAGAAATATTTTACACTTAGCCAGGTGTGGTGGCACATGCCTGTAATCCCAGTGGCTTGGGAAACTGAGGCAAGACCGATCATGAGTTCAAAGCCAGCCTCAGCAACAGTGAAGTACTAAGCAATTCAGGGAGACCGTGTCTCTAAATAAAATACAAAAAAGATCTTGAGATGTGGCTCAGTGGTGGAGTGCCCCCGAATTCAGTCCCTTGTGTGTGTGTGTGTGTGTGTGTGTACCACGTAATTCTAAATTCTTACCTCACATAGGTTTGAGCCAAAGGATATTGATATTTTGAAAGTTTTGCAGGTGGATAAATAGATACATACCTTTATCCTTCACAGAACCAAAGATATATTGAAAGACTTGAAGGAGGATGTAGAACATTACTTCTAGATTTATAAATAGTAAAATGGAAAGGGTGTTATGAAAGCTTAATGGAGTAACACCAAGCAAAGATCTGAAGAGGATGGTCAGGAAAGTATTTCAAGATGTAAACACATCAAAAATGATACTCGTGGAATAGAATGGATCAGTAAAGAGACAAGAAATTGAGCCAAAGCATTCCTAGGACAGGTAATAGCCAACAAGTGTCAGGAGGCATAAAAGACCTTGTAAGAAAACTAATCAACCCAATATGGTTGTGATTATTAAATGACCTATTAGTGAAGTGATTATTTATTGAAACCCCCTGGTGTTAGCCACCAAGCTAATAGGGTTACACACTAACTTATTATAAGGGTAAATTATGACTCCTGAGTCTGGAGAGATAAACATAAGCAAGATCACAAAGGCTCCTGTCTCCCATAATCCTGTCAAACCCTAATGGAGAGGGCCATGGAGAAAATATTAAAAGTACTTTTAAGCTAGTGAGTGACATAGTTAGATTTGAGTTTTACAATGAAAACTCAAGTTACAGTAACTGAAAAAACATGACAGAGACGAGATTAGCAGCAGGATAAGATTGACTATTGTAATGATGAGAGTGTGAAAGACTGTGGATTCTGCTGTAGAGAAAGCACAGTGGACTGCCAAATCCATCTCAAATCCCCTCTTACAAGGCCTGAATACCTAAGACCCAGCTAGTGAGAGTCTGGGATGCTAGCAGTTCACAGCCCTAATCTTTTCTGGGTAATTTCACTAAAGAAATGGGAAGCTGCAGCCCAGGGATTATGCCCCCCAACACACACACACACACACACACACACACACACATACACACACACACAGACACGGGGCCCAAGTGCACAATAAAAGACTATCACAGGACTATGACAGTTGGGTTCCTGCCTTCATGAGAAGTCAGCCATGCAGTACAGTGAACAATTCAGAGCTGCCGAGTTTCCCAGCTGAAGCCAGACTTCATGTGACACAATGCACTCCCCTTCCCCACCTCACCAGCTTCCCTAAGTCCTTGCCTCCACATGTCACCTTCATAAAAATTGTCACCTCTGATTCTGCATCTAGAACACAAACTGATATGGAAAGAGAGGAAATAGTTCCTCCAAGGTTTACAAGTTATAAAAAATGAAATAACTGCATAATGTAGCATGGTTTGTCATTTAAGACCTACTTGACCACCCTAGGAAGGTCCAGAAGACATACATTTAATCACTAGGATGAGTAACCAATTTCTGAAGGGAGCCCTGACATCCTTGAAGAGTTCTGTGATTGTTCTTCCCTTTTGGTTGAGACCCTACAATGGGAATTATGGTCCTTTAAGTGGGAAATAGAAATGTAAACCTGTCAGTCAAAAATACTGTTACCACCAAAGATCTACTTTAGTAATTAAGGAGAAACAAAGGCATTCCCAGGAAAACTATTATCAAACAAACACAATAACACATGATGGTAAGGATGTGGTGAAAAAAAAATTTACATACTCTTGTTGGGAACATAAGTTAATACACTCACCATGGAAAACATCATGGAGGTTCCTCAAAAGACTCTAAGTAGAACTTTCAAATAATCAAGCTATCTCACTCCTAGATACATATCAAAAGGAAACTGGATAGGAAAGACAGTGGAATGATCCTGACATAAATTTCCTACGTTCATATATGAATATACCACAGTCAATCTCTACCTGATGTACAATCACAAGACTGGGATCCTAATTAGAAAAAGACGTACTCTGAGTTTGTATAAATAATTCAAATTTTAAAAGTTAATAGAATTTCATACAAGGAAAAGTATTAAAGAGTGTTATCTGATCTACACATTGGCTTGCTATAATTGACAACATTACTTCTGGTGAATGAGAATGTATTATGTGGCAAATTTTTAAAGTTGAGAAAAATTATGATGATGTCAGTTAATCCGGAATACTAAGAAAGATTAAATAAAGGATGATATAAAGGCAATAAAAGGAAATTAAGTCAGCATACAAAGAGAAACCTGCATTTCCATGTTTACTACATCACAATTAACAATAGCTATGACAAAGAATTAGCCTAGTTGCCCATCAACAGATGAAAACAGAAGTTATGGTACATATACAGAAGAATAAAATCCTGTTTTCTACAATAAAATGGATAAAAGTGTGTGGAAATCATTATGTTGAATGAAATAAACAGGTACAGAAGAGACAAGTACCATAGATCTCACTCATATGAGAAATAAAAAAAATGTGTACCTCATAGAAGTTGAGGGTACAATGGTGGTTACCAAAGACCAGGGAAGGAAGGTAGGGGGCAGGTGACAGAGATATAGTGATCAATGGATACTGAGTTACAGTTAGAGAGAAATGAGAAGTTTGAGTGAGTATAGTTAACAATAATTTTCTGCACATTTTAAAAAGCTGGAAAAATTATTTTGAGGATTTATGCCATAGGAGAATGCTAAATTTTTAAGACTTAAATATGTCTTAACAGCTTTAAATTTTATGCAATATATATATATATATATATATATATATATATATGCATCAAAACTTAACATGGTACACCATTAATAAGTACAATGTGTATAATTTTCTGTATAATTTTAAAATAAATGAAAAATAAGCAAATAAACAAAAATAAAAGATAGAAGACTTAGAATGGACTTTTCTCCAAAGACATAATGATGGTCAACATCTATGTAAAAAGGTGCTTTCTACAATAATAATTAGGGAAAATGCATATCAAAATTACAATGAGATATTCAATCTGAAAGAATGAGAATTATTAAAACAACAAAAAAAAGATAACAGTGGCAAGCTTAAGGGAAAATGTGTCTCTGTGATTGAAATGTAAATCAATTCATCCTCTACGGAACAGTATGGATATTCCTTTAAAACTTTCAAAAAATAAAGCTACACATTATCAAGATAATACTA